CCTCCTGCCTCAGCCTCCCAAGTTCTGGGATTATAGGCATGTGCCACCATGCATAGTAATAGCCTAGATTTGAAACCTACTTTGATTCTGTCCTGAATTTCAGAGGCCAAATACTAATTCTCTATTTTTCTTTTGCATTCCTTTTGTAACTTCCAAACAATGCAACACTATCCAAAGGGCAAATTAACTCCTCAGCAGAGGAAAAAAAAATCACATTATTCATTTTGAAAATATTACCTCTGTTACATATGTGTTGTAGGATTTTATGACTTTGGATGGAAGACAACTGTCTCTTTTATCTTTTTCCAATGGTCAAGAGCAAATTTGGTGATTACAAATTTAACATTTTAAACACAGAATTACTATATTATGTATCATGTTTTATAACTACCTTTAATAGTATTTTGGATTATGACTTCTTATAAATTTTTTATTATTATTTTATCAAGCTATGAAGTATGCATGCAGTCATCCTAAAAGGGTTGAGTAATTTGAACTTTGTTTTGATCTCAAACAAAATTAAAAGGTTTTTGAGACTTTTCCTGTCAAAGGCTCATAATAGTGAATCACATGGCATTAATCTGAACAGCTATTTTAGTCTAGCTCATGATTCAGGATACAGAATAGTAGAGTACACTGTGCATCCTTTGGAGTAAGATTAACTATTTCCAAACCCTAGCTCCCACCAACAGACCACATTGCTATTCAACCTCTCTGAGCCTCAGGTTCTTCTTCTCAAAAACAAATGTTAATCATACCTGTCATCTCATTAAGTTTTTTTTAATTTGTTTTTTATTGGTTCACTTTAACCAATTAATTAATTTATTTTTAGTTTTTTGAAACAGGGTCTCACTATGTAGCCCAGGTTGGCCTCAAACTCTCGGCAATCCTTCTACCTTAGCCTCCCAGCTGCTGGGGTTACAGGTGTTCAACGCACGGCAAGCTTATTGGTACCTTTTAAATATACGTAATAATCACTTTCATCATAGGGAATATAGGGAATTTTACCTGTACATGATATATCATGCTTCTTTTTTTTCATTCCTCTCCCCTCCCTTCAACCTTTCTTCCCCTTCTTACTTATGAAAGCTTTGGTCCTATTTTTTCCCTTCTGTTCTATTTTTTCTTGTTCCTTCTTTCCTTCTCCCTTCCCCCTCCCTTGTTCTTTCTCCTTTGAATTTTTTCTTCCTATTTCACAGTATCTATTATATACTTTGTTCCTTATTTCCACTTTGTTTCTCACATCAGAAAAACTATGCAGTATTTACATGTGTGTGTCTGATTTACTTCACTTAAGAGTATGTTCTCAGGGTGCATCCATTTACCTAGAAATGTCTCTCAAGTTTATCCTGCTTTATGGCAGAGTAGTACTCCACTATGTAAAAAAACCTACATCTTCTTTATCCATTTATTGGTTGATGGGAATTTGGGTTGTTTCTAAGATGGTTATTACAAAGTGTACTGCTATAAACATGGGTGCACATATATCACTGAGGAATGATGTTTTTTATTCTTCTGGGAAGATATTCAGAAGGGAAATGGGATCTCCAGTCCTAGTTTTTGAGGAATCTCCACACTGATTTCCACAGTGATTATAGCAATCTATTCTCCCACCAACAGTGAAGAAGGATTCCTTTTCCCCCACACCCCACTGGCATTTGTTATTGGTTGATTTCTTGATAATAGCCATTCTTTCTAGAGTGAGATGGAATCTCAGCATTGTCTTAATTTGCATCTCCTGAATAACTAGTGATGTTTGAACTGTCCCTCCCATGCAGGGAATCAGGGCTCAGGGAGTGCCACTTGCCACCTCCTTCTGCGCTGAGGTATCTGTTTCTCTGCCCTTGGTCTTCAATTCTGGCTTCAGATCCTTGATAGATCCCGGACACCCCCACTTCCCTCCTTCTTGTCTTCATGATACTATATTCTAGTATCTGGGCTCCAAATCTTGGAGTGGCTGTTTCTCTGCTGTTTATCACTCCTTCATTGTAGCTGTTACTTTTCTCATTGCTGAGACAAAATAGCCAACACCCAGAGTTAGAGGAGGAAAAGTTTATTTGGTTTACAGTTCATAAAAGTTTTAGTTCATAACTGACTGGCTCCAAGGCAGGGTGGCACATGGCAGAGGGGCAACAGTTAATGGCAGCGGAAGACAGCAAGAGCAACAAGAGTCAAGATTCTTTCTGTCCCTTTTTGTTTGCAGGATGTCTGCCACAGGATAGTACTCACACCCTTAATCCTAGTCAAAACTATGCAAAGGAATCATTGGACCGATTCACTAATCACACACCCTTAATCCCAGCATCACACTCTCTAGATTCATCCACCTCTGAAAAACCCTGTGACCACATAGGCTTTGGGAGGACATCTAGACACAAACCATAACAGCCATTCTACCTGGAAGTCCTCTCAATAAGTTGATAGAAGAATTAAGTGATGTCATGTATGTGAATACCTGACATATGTTATCTATTACTTTATTCATTGTTTTTATTGACTAAGAGGAGATATTTGAGTTATTACTGACTCAAAGAGGAAAATCATATTTTATATAAATATAATTAAAAATTATATTTATATAAAAATTTTATATATTTATATAAAATATAATGTATTATTTTTCAATGGACAGATTGAGAGGATGGTATCGTAGTCACTCTTTTGTTTCTGTGACACAATACCTGACACTCACAGCATAGGGAGAGGTTTACTGTGGCTCACACTTTAGAAGGTTCAATCCTTTAAGGTCAGTGACATGGTAGAAGGGCCCAGGAAAGGGCGTAGGAAAAAACTGCTCACCTCCTCATGGCTGGGAAGCAGGAAGAATAGAGGGACCAGGAATGGAGATCTACCCTACCAGGTCACTCCCTGACCTGTGCACCTCTTCCCGTTAGCCCTTACCTCCTCACATCACATTAAGCTATAAACTTATCAGTGGACTAATCTACCAAAGAATATAACACTCCCACAGCCAAATCACCAAGACTCTTACTCTGAGCACGTAATGCTTTGAGGAACATCCAGATATAAACCATAACAGGTGGTAACTCAAAGAATTTCTCCAGTCAACAGATTCAGCTTTTTTTTATTAATGAATTTCCAGAAAGTTCCAGGTGTTCTGAGTGAAGAGCTGGATTTCTCTGAGACTAGAATTAACTTGATTCTTCTAAATAAAAGTAAGAAATACATCGTAAGCAGTGGATGTTGAGCCAGGAAAGAGCCTTTACTTTTTAAAAATTATACACCAGCTTCCCTCAGCCACTTCTCATCATTTCTTCACTTTCATTGTTAAGTTGGCATTTCTCCTCCAAAAAATTAATATTTGGAGCTGCCGTAGAATATTCTAAATTAGCGAATATTTGAATTATCAGTTAGAAACAGTTAATTAAATGTCAGCTTTACAAAACAAGAGTATAGCTTATTTAAGTTTCTGATTTGAAGTAATGCAAGTGCTGTCCATTTATTAATTAAATTTATATTTAAAATATTGACAACTCATATTTAAAAATATTCTCCTCCCATAAAATCATGGAACATTTGCAAAATGCTCCTGGTGTCAACAGCAGGTGAGGTTCTAACATATCTCTCAATTAAGGTTATTGGGACTAAGATGAATAGCTCTCCAAAAGTCAGAAGTGCCAACCTGAGAAGAGATGCCTTTCTTTATTCTTTATTTCTTTATTCTTTTCAGCACTCTGTGGTCATTCTACAAAGCTGGCATTTTCATTCAGTTGAAACCAAAGAGATTTTTAAGAAAAGCAGCAGTGGAGGGTGGGGGGAGTTACCATCTCAGTGTCCATAGTAATTCCTAGAATCTTTTCAGTATTTGGGGTCAGCAACAGTCCAGTAAGGAAGGGGCCCATTAGATAAATTTGGTTCTGAAATGCTAATTGAAAATCCTCCTCAGCAATTCAGTCCCTTTCCCTCTTTAGTGAGCAGGGTCCCATGGTGACTGGTTTTGAAAGAAATCATCCCCTTCAGCAGTTACCTAGCACCATGGCAACCAGGACGTCAGCAAAGCAGGATAGCTCCACATAAAACGGCTCCACCCAAGCTTCCATCCTCCTTCTGATTCAATCCTGTCTGAGGCCTAGGGATGGAGCTAGTGACACCTAGGCTGTACACTCAAAAATTCCTGTATGTTGCTGTGGTTTTCTCCATAAGCATAGATGTATGAGTGTATAGTGAACTATGCTATGAAAATCCCACTCACCCCATCCCCTAAAAAAAAAAGCCACACGGGTTGTATTTAAAGAGGGGAAGTGATGGGATGGAGACAAGGATATAGGTGTGGGATGGTGTTTGGGGTTTAATAAAATATAAAAATTATTTGTGCTTAATAGCTACGTTTATAAATAGGTTGGCTGTAGGAGAAATAAAAGCTCAAAATATATGGTGTGACATATACTTAAGGCCAAGAACCCAAGGAAATATTTAAAAAATATTTTTATTTACCTGTAAGTGAAAAGCAAATGGGTTTTAATTTAACAAGCGCTGAAGCGGGTATAATGCTGTCCGTGGTGCTGAACACTGGATTGGCCGGGGAGGTGTTAAAGGGCTCCTAAGAGAGGTTAAGGAACACCTTGCCATGTCAGGATAGTGTTGTTGAGAAAAAAATAAAAACTGGGAAGAAAGCATCATTCCCCCCCCCCCCCCCGCCACTCCAAGCAACTATGAATCCTTAGGAAAAAACCATATTGAAAAGAAAAGAAAGTAGAAAAAGCTGGAGATTTGGGTAGTTGAATCTTCCCCTTTTCATATGGAGATTTTTGGTCAGAGCCAATCAGGTCAGAGATTTCTGTTGCTTTGGTCCTGAAAGGAAAAGTGGGGGAAGGGAGAAAGAAGATGGCCACATTCTTCCCTTAAGCCACATGATCCATCTCCCATGTGACACATTCCAGAGCCTTGGAGAGGATAAGGGAGGGGTGCCCAGAGAGTGGGGCTGGGGGCGGGAAGATGTTTTAACAGCCCTGCGCAGCGTCTTCTTGTCTCCCTACCAGGAAGCAGGCTGTGAGCCAAGGGGACGACAGAGGACAGATATGAATGTGTTCCCAAAATTTCCTGGTGGTTTATGGCATTCTCCAAAGTCCTATGCAAGGGCTGTTCTTGACCAAGAAGACCCAAGGAGACCATCTCTGAAATCAAGTCCAGATGAAGGTATGTGATAGAAATCACTTGCTGAAATCGCTGAAATTTGGCTGAGAGGACATAATTCATTCTCTCTTTCTCTTTCTCTCCCTCTCTCTCTCCTCCCTGTCTCCCTGTCTCTCACTGTCTCTCTATCTCTCTCTGTCTCTCTTTTTGTCTCCAGGCAATTTGGAGATTTTTGTCCTGGCTTAGATGTTTGTTAGGGGCTTTAGATTTGTCACAAATCCAGGAAAGACGCCCACCTAGTTCTGTAAAATGAATAATTCTCTAGAGTAAGTGCCTGTGAGAACAAATTGTAGAGAAATTGTATATAGTAATTGATAATAAAACAAAGCACTCATTGATGAAAAGAATTTTTTCTCTTGAATCCTGGAAAGAGAAAAAATACTACTGAAAAAAACAAATAGATTTCGCTGTCACTGCAATGAAATCCTGTCTCATCTTTTCAGCTGCTTATTCTCTGCCCATGTTCCCAGAGGTTATTGGCGATGGCTTAGGGAGCCAGAGTGAACAGTCATGCTGCTGTTTCTTTGTATTGTTCTATCATCTTCCTTCTGATGTTCCTGACACCAGGAACATTTTAGATTGCTCCCAGTTCTGATGTAGGCCAGTAGACTGCCACAGAATTCTGTATCTTATAAAATTGCTACCAAAAGGCCCAGGGGAAGTTCTCAAAGGAATCTACCAGAGTTACAGGGTAAAATAATCTGCTGTAAAGTCAAACCTTGGTATCTTTGGTTATTTCTACCCACAATAAAGAGAAGAGCTAGAAAATTTAAATTTTATTTCATTTATGTAACAAATACTTATAGAGTTCTTGCTGTGTGAAGGGTACCATTGTGAGCCCAAATAATCAGCCATTAATCATTACAGTGCCCATGTTAGAGATGGAGTAACTGAGGCACAGAGAAGTTAGGACATTTTTTCCAAAGCCACAGAGCTAGTAAATAAAATCAGAATTTGTACCTAAGAATTTTGACTCCAAAGCCTATGCTCTTAACTACTGAGCTGTGCTGCTTTTGTATTATCTCAAATGATTTCAACAGTATATTTGGCTATGGATTCTGTTCATCTGACACTACTAAAAGATTGAATCAGCTTGGCTGCTTAAAACAGATCTCTAGTGGAATCTATATTTAACCATGAATTATCCCAATAGTCACATTGTATACTCCCAAATAACCCAGTAAGTAATTGCCTATTTTCTTTCCCTTGTGCTGCATAGATATTTGGTAGTAAAACACTACGTTACTAGGGTGACCAAATGATGTCTAAAGAAAAAAAAAAACGAAAGAAAAAAATCTGGAGTGACATCATGATTGATTTTTTTTTTTTGGTACTGGGGATTGAACACTCATAACTTCACATTTGCCTAGCAGGCACTTATGCTGCTGAGCTAAACCCCTGGCCCATCATGGTTGATTTTTAAAAATTGAATCTAAAAACACTCTTCCATCCTCAGGATCTAGTAACAAGTCCTAAGCATATGGTCTTTAAAAGCGTTTACCTGATTCTCAAAATAAGGTTAGAACTTCTAAATTTATGTGTATAAACTATATAAACTGACTAGATTTATTGCTTTAAAATAATATTACCATACTTTAAAAAGGGGATCGATCTCTCTGCAAATTATTTTAGGTTTTTAAGGGTAAAAGAAGTTTGTTATAATCTTTAATGGAAATTTCCAAGATAAAAGGTTTTCTTCCTTTGATCCACGTAGCTTTCCTTCTGGCCCTTGATAATAAAAAAAAGACTGATCTCATTGCTCTAAGCTGTGGGGAAACTAAAAGAAGTTGTTAGGCTAAGATACACAGAGGGAAAAAAAAAGATACACAGAGGAAGAAAAGGACAGGAATCTCATATTTGTAAAATCTCTATTAAATAAGACTTTTGCTCTAGTATTTCATTTTATTGTACCTTGAAAAGTAATTGTGTCCTCTATAATATTGTACTTTGGTCTTTTAGCTTAAGACTTTGCTAAGATATACATTTTCCTGGGATAAGTAACAATTTCCGTTATTGTAATCAACTGAAGTATGGCCTGGTTTATAAGCTCTTATTATACAATTGTAAATGAAAAATAGGAAGATGCAGGGCTCTGACAGCTTCGGTTAGAACCAGTTTGGGTTTTATTGGAAGGAGAATAAAAAGGCACATATACTGCAAGAACTTGGCAAGAGTCAAAATTAAGCTTGAAGTTTACATATTTTATGCTGGTCCTGGAGCAGTAGCAAACTAGAGTTTGGTAAGTTCTATAAATTCTTTCCTGGAAGTCCCTGATCTTCCTGTGCCTGACTTCCCCTCCTCCCCCCACTGTATTACTAGACATCGAACTCAGGGCCTTGCACATGCTAGGTAAGTGCTGTAATAATGAGCTATATCTGCAGTCCTTATTCACAATTTTACTTTAAGACAGGATCTCTCTAAGTTGCCCAGTCTGATCTCAAGCTTGGGTTCCTTTTGAGTTGCTGGGATCTCAGCTGTGTGCTGCTACCCCTGACTTCCCTGAAAGTTTTATTTGCACTTAGAATAAAGTTCTCCTGATATTTTTTATTTATATTTAGATGGTGACATCCCCTAACAGTCTCATTTTCCACCTGTTATATTTGGCAACATTTCCCAACACTGAAGCAGTTCACCTTGGGTGAGAGCAAATGTCTTGTAAGGTTCTCTCCCATACAATCCTTTCTGAATCTAGCCTGGCTCCCAGTCCTTAGAACTTTGCCCAGTGAACTCACAGGAGAGCTGCAAGACTCCTCCCTAAAGATCCCAGGATTTATTTATTTATTTATTTATTTTTGTACCAGAGATTGAACTCACGACCTTGCGCTTGCTAGGCAGATGCTGTGCCACTAAGCTGTATTCCTAGCCTGGATCTCAGGATCTTGAATGACATTCCCAAACCATGGCAGCGTAGGACCTCCATGGGAGGTATTTTAGGACATTTTAAAAACTTGCTTTCAGGGGCTGGGGATTTAGCTCAGCGGCATAAGCACCTGCCTTGCAAGCAGGCGGTCGTGAGTTCGATCCCTGGTACCGAGAAAAATGAAAAAGACAAAAAAAAAAAAAAACTTGCTTTCAATTTGAATTTAAATTAGCGAGCTAATAAGGATTAAAATAGTCACTCTTCTGATAATATACAAAGGATAGCTTTTGTTTTGTTTTTTTCTATTTGGTTAAGGGCAGAAAGATGAGGGGTTGTGGGTAAGGTGTGGTCATTCCTCCTCCTTACCTCTAGTGCTACCTGCTGGGTTTACTGCACAAAGGAAACGCCCTGCTGAAAGCACACAGCAGCTGGGCAAGTGTGGTGCAAGCCCACTGCACAAACACAGGGGTTCTGGCGGAAGTGGGGTTAAGGCTCATGGGAGGCCTACCTAGCCTTCCTAATAACTCTTGAATCTAAAAGGAGGCAACCCAGTCAACCAGCTGAGCAGAGAGCGAGGGTGAGGCTTTTCCTTGAGAGGCTCTTGACTTAGAGGCTGGTAGTAGAAAAGGAGATGAGAAAGGGGAAATTAAACTGGGTGAAGAATATGACACAGTGATGGCTCCTGCTTTTTAGGGGTTGTCAGTTGGCAGCTGGTACACCCTGCCAGATGCGGCAGGTCCCACCAGTGAAATGATCAAGTCCCTTCCTAGGGCGTATGTACGGAAGGGAAGTAGAGATGGACCAGAGTATGGGTACAGTTTCTTCCCTGGGAGCTGAGGCAAAAAATGGGATGAAGTGGGAGTTATCTTCTCCAGGAGGAAAGTTTAAAAAGCAAATGGGAGTTACCAGCATGTATCTCCTGATTTGTAGAGTAATTTTCCCTTGCTTAAACACTCAAAGCATCATCTTCTGGTGGTGGTCTTTTCAGAAAACTTCCAGACACTTGATATCTGTCATGTTTAACCCTTGTAGCAACTGTCCATGATATGGACTATTAGCCTGATTTCTGATAAGAAACCTGAGGTTCAGAGATTAACTAACTTGCCCAAAGTCATACACAGAGAACCTAATCTAGTTCTTTCTGAACTAGGTTTCTGATTCTGTGCTCCATCTACTGTATCACAAGTCAAGTTTTTTTCCTCCACATTTTAATAGAATGTTTTAAATATTAGATTAATACAAATATGTATTTTTTTCAACTTTTTGAAAATTCAGAGCAATGTAAAATGTAGAATGAAAAAAAAATCTATCATCATCTTGCTACTAGAAATAACCACTGTTAGAATTATGGTAGATTTTTTCTCAGTCTTTTACATATATTGATAACAGAAACAAACACTTGGTGAATTCTTGCTTTGTTATGGACTGTTTGTTTTATTTTGTTTTTTTAGTGGTACTAAGCATTGAACTCAGGGTCTTTGTACTAAGCTACATCCCCAGCCATTTTTAAATTTTTTATTTTCAAGACAGTGTCTACATTAAGTTGTTAAATTGCCTAGGCTGGGTTTGAATTTGGCAGTCCTCCTGCCTTAGCCACCTGGACTACTGAGATTTCAAATATTATTCTTAATTCCTTTCTTGTATAATTTATTTGCACAAGTCAATAAGGTAGCTATGATACTGTAATTGTATTGGCGAAGACACTCAGTAAGCACAAATATGTTAAGTAATTTGCCAGAGCCCACACAGATTAAATCAGTAATTTGATACCTCAGTAGAGTGGTTCTAGATCAGTTTCTCAACCTCAGGACTGTTGGCATTTTGGGCTAGGTAATTCTGTGTTATGAGGGACAATCTTGCTCACTATAAAATTCGTCTTTGTTCTGAGAAGGGTCTCACTGTGTAATCCAGACTGGCCTTGAATTTGCTTATGTAGCCCAGGCTGGCCTCAAATTTGTGATCATCTTTCTGCCTCAGCGAGTGCTGGGATTATAGGTGTGTACCATGTCCAACTAAAATATTTAGCAGCATTTTTGGCCTGTACCTGCCAGATGTCAGTGATTCCCTCCTTCCTACCAAAAATATCTCCAGACATTGCCAAAAATCTCCTGGAAAGTAAAAATTATTTCCATTCCAGAACCAC